AAGATGTGAACTCAACACGAAGTGAAATGGTTACCTTCTGTCGACAAATATATGCTGATAGTCCACCAGAATTGAATCATGTGGAAGAATTTGAAGAATATTATACATCTGAAAATGCAATATTTTGCAGAATTCCCTCAAAAAAAGAATTTTTTGTATATTTCTCTCTCTCTCTTTTGAGACTACTCCGAGCCAAATCGGAACAAAGCTGAGAGACTACATACATTTTTGGTTGAAAAAAAGGTAATAAAATGGTTTTGTTTGGACTCGAATCGGAGACCTTTAAGTGCACTTCCGCTTGTGTTGATAAATAGTGATGCCAAAAATCGAGTAAAGGTCGTCGAAAGGTGCAGATGGTCTTAAAAATAGAGCTGGTGTTGATGTACACACATCTGGCACAGACCCCCCAACTGAGAGACCGACAGCCGAGTTGGCCACCTCGTGTACTGAATAGTAGTCATTTTGGGTCATGTTGGCATTAATTAGTTTAAAAATATTTCCCGATGACTTCTGGAAGACCAAAAGTCATCAAGAAGGTTTTGGAATGCTCAAGGTTTTCGAAGTTTTGTGCGTTTTACGAAACTTTCAAGCTGATTGAGTAAAAAATTCCGAAGTTTTTTTGGAAAAAACTCGCACGGAACGCGAAAGGTTTCTGAACGAAGTGATGTCTCTGTCGTTCGGTCAAAAAACACCACTGTTCTGAATACAAGTCCTGATGGTTTCTGAAATTAAATCGGACGGGGGTAGACGATTCTTAAAACAGGTATAGGTATTTTCTAGCACGAATTTGAATTTACACTAACTATTATGAGGCTAACTTGCTGTCGGATCACATGCCGTCTTTCCAGCAGTGTAATTTTGAATACGAATGAGATCTAGGTAGAGAATCTAGTCCAGCAGACCTCTCCTTTTGTGTGTGGCTGAGGAGAGAGTAAAAGCAGAAGACAAGCCTTTGTCGTCAACAGTGTAAGGGTGAGCGGGACCGGGACCGAAAAATTTATTTTACCGGGAGCGGGATCGGAATCAGGTTTAGAAAAGTTCGACTCCTTGCTCTACACTGAGAGGTGCACGTAAAACGATACCACATATACTCATCTTTTCTTGACAAACAATTTTCTCCTCCGTTAGGGAGAGTCTTGCAACCTTTAATGTCTGTATGTCTGTATGTCCGTAGAAAAACAAATGACGTCATCGGTAAACAACGTGTCATTGGTCGTCGCAGCCGCCTATTGTAGCCGTGTAAACGGTAGATGTCGCACATTCTTAGAAAGTAATTCGTTCTTAACGGCTTACTTAGGTTTATAAATATGCAGAACTTGAATCCGAGACCAGATTAAGTCGAAACGTGTTCGAGATGCCCTGCTCGAGATGCATCACGAACTTTTCGACTTGTGAACAGAAGGTTCACGAAGATGTAACCGACCATAGGGAGCTCGAATCTGAGGTCAAATTATGTTAAAACATATTACTACACCGGCTACTAAGGGTTTACTACTCGTCCAGTAAATTTTTCCTCTCATGGCAGCCGTCTGATGCGTGTACAGAAACAGAGGCATGTTTATGTGTTCACTCTTCTCTGACGTTCAGCCCGTCGACAAAGTCCGTCCGCTATGAGACATAATTCTAGGGGAGAATTATGTCTCATAGCGGACGGACTTTGTCGACGGGCTGAACGTCAGAGAAGAGTGAACACATATAGCAGCTTATCAAGTCAAAAAACATTCAGCTAGGTCAAGTACAGTCAAGTCGGACATGACTTTAATGACAGTTCAAAATGGAAGCACTTCTATCGTTATTTAACTCCGTGACTGACCTTTACTCCACTATATACATCACCAGCGCATTCTATCACGAAATGCGTATATTTAGGTCTTTCCTCTCTGTTCTCGACCACTGTCTTACCTTTTAACGAGCAGTCAGGCCTCTCATGGTATCCGGCGTTCTTTAACGCGTCTCAAGAACTTCGAATGACCACTGGAATATTCTCGTTTATTAAAATTATTAATTTATGGAAGATCAGTACATCACAACACTTGTTAGTCAGCATAAAACATTTGCACACGAGAATGGTCACCTTCGCTCACATATAAACTTCCATTTGAATCAAAAGCCAGATCTGTTGGACAACTAACTTGAATCGGTTGACTTCCCCACACTCCCGCACCCTCAATAACACTGCCACTTTTTCCACCCTTCGACCAGCGTACTATTCGGTCGTTTTGAGTGTCAGTGATAAAGATGGTACCATCGCGATCGACAAAAACAGAATTCGGAGTGTTTAACTGATTCTCGTCGTATCCCCTTCCATTACCTCCCGCGACCACTTCACCTTCTAAACCATTTTTTACCCATTTCATTATGCGATGATTAAGAGAATCAGCAATATAAATAGATTCTTCGTAATCCACATATATTTGCATGGCTAAAAGAAATGAAAAGTGGGAAATGAAAAAGATCTAGGGTATTCTTTAAGGAACTCACGTCCATGAAGTTGGTTGAGATTCGAGCCCTTCCCATTGCCTCCCGCGACAACCTTTCCCTTTTCAGCAACATTTTTATGGGCCCTGTCATAACGAAGAATACGACCACCATCAAAATCAGATACATAGAGATAGTCTCCTTCTTTACTTAAAAATATACCCATTGGGCAATAGTCTAACTGTATACTTTGCGGAATAGTATTAGTATTGTTTGATTTTAGTGAGAGCAGTTGTATTTGGTTTTTGCCTGTATCACTGACAAATAATACGCCATCTTCTCGATCCATAGTTATATAGCTAAAATTAGTCTGACTCTGACCACGCTCATTTTCTTCATCACGTCGCGCACTATCTAAAATGATTTCTCCTTGCTGATCGCCTTCGACATATTTGCGGACGCCGTTATCAATAACATAAAAAATGGTAGTATCCTCATTTTCATTTTGATCGATACATATTCCCGCTGGTCGTTCATCATCACGATCATGACGCCTCTTCTTGTCACCAGCAACCGTTCTTCCATATGTTTGCCACCATATGTATGGCAAGCGTAGTTCAGTGTTATATCTTACTTGACGCTGTTCAAAATATTTCTCCTCTACAATTTCGCTAGGCACGATATTCATTTATTGTTATAGACGGTGGAAAGAAAACTTTTGTGTGCTAGTATTACCAACTTATTTATTATATCGTTTTGACAGAAAACGTTATGTGTTGGAACATTCTTTCTTCTTCTTATCATCAATATTACAGAATGGTGAAAGAACTGAGTCAATGCACACACACAGTTTATTAATCTTGTTCTGTTCTCCCTTTATTTCAAATGAATTGTGTAATAAAACAATGTCTTATAAGGTGCGGGTAATTCAAACTTCAAGCAGATTTTAGATTTTTTTGAAACACACACCGTTCGATAGAGCTTGAATAGCTCTACAAGAATATCGCCTTTAAAAGCTTTTTCGAGCTTTCCTTCCAGGAGAAAAAATTGAAATACTAGTTTGTTATTCGACAATGGAAAAAAGACGCATTTTCAGAAAACTTCGGTTCTTCGTTTTCCGTTTAATTTCAATTAATCAATTAATCACACATTTTTGTCACATTATCGCCTTTAAAAGCTTTTTCGAGCTTTCCTTCGAGGAGAAAAAATTGAAATACTAGTTTGTTATTCGACAATGGAAAAAAGACGCATTTTTCAGAAAACTTCGGTTCTTCGTTTTCCGTTGCACTTTTAGCAGATTATTCTTTCATATTCGGGTTCCTCATGTCGAAGTGAGTATAGGGAAGTGTTTTAGAGCTTGATCGAAAATGACGTCAACTGGCTAGAAATTCAAGACCTCTATCCAGTTGGCTCTCAATCGGTGCAGTGCTCTCGCCAAAGACATCAAGTCTGGTGCCTGTGAAGCAAAAAAATTCTTTCATAGCTCATTCGAACCACCTTGAAAAGGGCTACAAAAATGTGTTGTAGTTCGGCTAACTTCCATCGGGTTGCTGAGAAATAAAATCCACAACACGGATAGTACCAGTAAAAATGTCATTGAGCTGAAGAAAGGAATTTTGAACTTGTACCGAGTTTCATGGTGAAACATTGATAAAATGACATGCAAATACGTAAAAAAATATGCTGAATCCAATGAAATTGATTTCATAATTTTTCGAGATCTTCAGAGGTACTTCGGAGGGTCTTTAGGAGGTTTTTGAAGGGTTTTCGAGGGTTTGTAAGTTGTATCAACGAGTTTTTGAGACATTCTTATCTAGGACTTGATGACGACGTTCTAGACTAGCGCTCCATCTGTTGTCTGACGCTACAATTGGATATATTTCAGCAGCAAGTGCCTGACGTTTAAGTTAAGTTCGGAAACTGTTGCTTTTTCTTGTCGTATTTGGTTGTTCATCTTCTTCGTTTTTTCGAACTGCTAACGATGCCTGCAGTGAGCAAAAACCGAAGTACCCGTCGCCTACGAAGTACCAGTCCCACCTCCTTCAACAGTTCTTCCTTCTGAGCCAATGTCAAGCGGAGAGGAGGAGTTCGCATCGATGCAATTTGATGACATCAGCCATCTTGATTTTGCTCATCCCTCGGTGATCGGTTATCTTACCGATCTGTTCTCTCTCTGCCGACAAGACGTCAACACGAGGTTCCTGAGCACTCTACTCTACATGACCCTCCGCCGATTTGGGCACTCCTATATTTTTTAATGCTTCTTTTCCATCGCTTTTATATGTCCTTTCACTCTTTTTCAAACCATCTGCCATGCTCAGGTCAAAAAGAATATGCACTCAGAAGCAAATTATGATCTGCACCGACAGAGAGAACCCTGGAGAGAGAAATCAACGTAGAAAAACTCACATGCATTTTCTTCTATGTCTTCTACGTGTGGACAAATATTCGAACTGGCTAAGTTAATCGAATAGCAAACAGGACGAAGATGAACAACGACTGTGTTGGACACACACACTATTCTTTTGAGTACACGTTTGATTGTCAGGCAAACAAGGGCTTAAGAGGGCCCCCTTTGAAAAAATCTCCGTCATTTCACATCTCATTAAGCTGAAACTGTTGCACTCGATAGATCACATATGATTTCTACCAAAGATTTCAACTTCAACCAATCAAAGTTTGATGTTGAAAAAAATTTAAAAAATCCAAAACTTTCGAAATTAACTTCCACGCCAAAACTAACTACTTCCTCCGTTTTAGTCCGATTGGCTCGGAATGGTCGTAAATTAAGAGGAGATCATTGACCAAAGCATGCGTTTAAAAAATTCGAAGCTTAAGCCGAGAGTCAACAATAGTGAAGAGATCTATATTTCTGTTTTTTCCTCACACTTGGAAATTCAATCTAGCCACTCAAGAATGAAACTTAGCCAAAAGCATGCGTGGATCGATGCGTTCTGATCTCCTCTTCAATTTGAGACTACGGCGAGCCAATTCGTACTAAAATTGAGCGACCAGCCACTTTTGGCGCGAAGCTCAATGTCAAAAAGTTGATTTAATCGGGAGTCTCCAGGTTTTAAGTGTATTTCTGCTGGCATTCAAAAAAGTCTTTCAAAAACCAAGGAAACAACTAATGCCAATTTTTTACACGTCGACTAATTGAATAGTAGTCATTTTGAGTCACGTTGATATTAATGGTTTGAATATATTTCCAATGATTTTTGGAACTTTTGAATACATATATTCTGATAGAGGACAGTCGGGGCTATCAAACGATGCAAAGTGACTTTTCAAGCCATTCCTGAGGGGAGGTCCCTCCTTAAACTATTACATGAAGCACCAAGGAATGAAGACCACTTGGCCAATGGCGAAAATACGTTGTATGGTGCTTTGAATCTATTCTTGGAAACTTACCACTCATTCAAAGAGGTACAACTTTACATTCAATCGTATCCCTTTTCATTAGAAATGAC